GGAATAATTGCCTTTTGGCCCTAAGGGTTCTGGTCCATCCTGCCTTGCTCCTGCTGGTCCCCTGAGAATCGGGGCAGGAGAACATGTGGTCAGCTGTGCTGCCCCCCTCAGTGCCACAGCCACCCCAGCTGGATCATGGGGAGCAATGTGGTGAGTTTTGCATCCAAAGCAGGGGGTGAAGTAAAAAATTTTCTTTCTCTCTGATGTTCTCAGAGCAGGATGACAATGACATGAAATGAATATAAATCAAGAAAAAGTCTATTTTAATTATTAAAAAAAGAAACAAGTGCAACAGTGAACCACATAGGTTTCTGGAAGTTTTTCCTCACAGTGTATCTATTGTTTCTCTCTTGAATTCAAAACCACCCACTAGTGAATTTAAATGAAAATCACTGAAAATATAAAGGCTTCAGAAGCGTTTTTGATTGAGAGAGGTGGACAACAAACAGATCATAAAGCTGCACACAGTCTCCATAGTGACGGGGCTTCCAAAAGGACACAGGGGAGCCTCAGCCTTCAGGAGCATCACCAACCTCCACCACACCAGGAGAAGCAGGAGCATCCCAAAAGGGATGTTGGGAGTTTTTATTCAAAGGAAGGATGTCTCTTCAGGGAGAGAGGCGGGAGGCTGTGCAGACAGAGTCCTTCCTGCTGGCCCTCTTAACTAAAGAATCACTGAGCAGATGTGGAGAGTTTGGGATCTTGGGAAGAGACCTTCAGAAACATGGCCTTAGGACAGCTACTGAGTTGTCTGGGCTTACCTCAAGCAGTGGATGGGAGGTGATCTCAGTGTCTTTAGCAGCCCAAATTTCTATTTGAGACTGAGCCCTGAAGAACTTTAAAAAAAAAAAATAAATTAAAAAACAACAGAGGCCAGAAATCAACCAGCTTGGCTCCAAAAAATCTTCCCTGTCATGCACTGATTAAAAAAAGAGCACTGAACACTCCTGAGTCCAGCATGGGGGACCATGCACAGAAGACTTCATTTCATATGGAAAAAAAAAAGATGAGTAAGGGAAAGGATTGCTCTGCTACCCAATAAATAGCAAACTATTGATAAATACTTTCAATAAAGTCAAAGTCCTTAATACTTTTTTTATTATCAGCCTACAGTGAATATATTGCTGTCAAACAGGCAGCCAAGACAGGGAATGAGATGCAAGCTGGAAGGAAAGAAGTGGTTAGAGAGCACACAGATGAGGTAAATGTTTTCAATTTCACTGTGCAGGAGCAATTTCACCCAGCACTAATTGACAGTAGTGGTTAATTTGGGGAGTTAGTGATAGACCCCCCAAGTTTAAAAGACCAAAGGAGTTCCTATGAAGAGAAAAGGGAAGACAAGTGAAGCCAAGGTAATTGTAGACCAGTCAGCCTAGCTGTAACTCTTTAGAACAAATAATGAATTTATTTGTAAACATCCAAGAGATAACAATGAGATGAGAAGCAGCCAACTTGGATTAGTCAAGACCAAGCCATACCACACCAACCAGCTTTCCTCCCAAAGCAGACTAACCTGGAAGTTAGAAACTCCAGAGGTGAAGCAGCTCAGCTCCAGACAGGCTGTGGCCCAGTCTCATGCAATGTCCTGCTTAAACCAGGAAGAAGAACACACTTGATAAAATTAGTGGAGGGCTAGTGGCAAAGCCCTGTGCTATTCTGGACTTTAAAGGTGATTTGTTTTCCAAATGAAAGGCTGGACCAAGTGAGGGTGAGCCAGGATCTGTCCTGGGCACAGGCCTGTACATGACTTTCATGTAAATTATTTGCCTGAAAGCTTAGGTTGATTAAACCTGCAGATGACCCAAAGCTGTGTCATGTTGCAAGTAACACTTGATAACTCTCCCTAAAAATAATACAAAAGAGGCTTTATAAAATAAAATAAGATAAGATATTCAAATTTCAGCTATGCTTACTAATAGTATCTCAGAAAGACTGAACATATATATATAGATGAGATCAGTCAAAATCCTTAGCTACATATCACCCTAAATCAAGAAATTACTTTCCACCAGAGCACTGTGCAGAGCTCCCCCCCTGATTTGTGCTGTCTCTGCAAAAGGAGAACCACACCATCTTTTATTTTACTCTTTATTTTCTTATTTTTAAGGCCCACATATTGCCTCAGGCATGCTATAATTCACATTGGTGACAAAGAAATTTGAAAAGCCTTCCACCACATTACCAGCAAGCCAGGGGCCTCCATGAACTGGGAATTCAAATACATTTTGACCTTTGCTTGGACTGGACATTGTGGGATGAGAACAGACCCAAAGTAGAGTCAATATTGAGAAAACTTTAATGGTAAAACAGTAATTAATGTAACAGTGTTTTGTAGGTTTAGATCAGAAGCCATGAGAGTAACGGAAAAAATTTCCCCAAGTTAGCACCCCAATAGTTTTCCATTAAGAAATTCACAATATTTTAACTGTAGGAGGAGCTAACACAAGGAAACTGTGCCAAGGAGCTGTGTGCTAAGCAGGATACCCAGTATTTTTCTGGAAGTTGGGAGATTTCCACCAACAGCATGTGATACACCCTTTACCTCTGCTGCAAGAAAAACTTCCCCTTTACTGGCAAGGCTTCCTCCTACGCATCTGTATTTTATATTACAGATATATGATCAAAACTGATCAGGCAAAATTAAAGGTCACTTGCTAGTGGGACTTCCCGACACAGCTTATGAGGGACCTGGATGACAGATACCATCCAAACCAGCAGGGTTTATAACTGGCCTGACAGCCCTACAGTGTGAACCCAAGGCTGGTTTAAGTAGAAGTTGTACCTGTACAAATGCTAATGATAACGATAAGAGAAATGTGATTCTTTTGTATCATCCACTACCCAAAATAAAAACATGAACATGCTGCCTTAGCTACAGAGGAAGATGAGCTAGACTTGAGGGAAGGCTCTCATGGGGCTGGGCAGGCTGCAGCCTGCTCTGGGGCCACATCAGACTCCAGGCTGTGTGCCCAGAGGAAGCCTTTAGTGTTGTGCTTGGTGTAATGAAGAAATATGGATGTGAATTAAACCCTCCAAGGAATGATGAAATTACATTGTTTGTTTTCACCTTTGTTTTAATGAATCGATTCCATCTCTTCTCGGTTTTCTATTGGTATGAATGGGTGACCAGGTGTGCTTGTGGGAAAATCTCCTTGGAGGAATACTAGAACAAAGTAGTAAATTAGTTAAGATGGCAGGTTTTGGAGCTGAAAACAAGATTATTCAGAAGTAGCCAGGCTTACCTAACTACCCCTTCTGCTTTGGCAGTGGAGAAAAACTGGGCCACTTGCGAAACAGGGTATATATAGACAATAAATGTTAATATATTTTAAAGTAAAATTAAGGTTTAAGAAAGATGTGTTAAAGGAAAGTTACCGTGGTGATGCCTGTCACGTTACATCCCCAAACACAGTGAAAACAAGATTACCATATGACCTGGGTCATACAGCTTGGTAAAAAATCCAAAGAAGACTGGATATCCCCCTTTGAAGCAGAAGAGATATCTCCTTCAATATCATTATATCTTTCAAAGGCCTATGTTCTTCACTGCTGGAAAGCTCACTGGGGTTTTAGCCTGAAAAGACTCTGCCTCCTTGTTGAAATCTTCCTAGACAAGATTAAAATCTAAGTAATTCCTTCAGTGGCAACCTCACAAGTCATTTTGATAGATGTACAACCTGCTGATCAACCATTTGAATCTACTGATTTATTGATTTGATCTTAATCATGATCGCAGTGTGATCACTTAATTGATCTGCCTTTAATTAGCTTAGTAGAAATAATGAATTAATCTAGTGATATCCTTGCTCAGGTGTTCCTTCATGTGTTCATCCTTTTTAATCAGCTCTGCAGGGAATATACAAGGTAGGTTTACACTATTAAATAGTCACTGAGGTCACAAACCTGAGGGCAGGAGTAAATTTGGGTAGGGCATATGCCAGCAGCTCAGCTCTGCATGTCTCCAGCCAAGACCTCATACACCCTGTGAATAAACTCATCTCCAGCCATGTTTGGTCTCCCAAATATTTTGCCATATTGCTGAATGAAGGGCAAGGAGGGCTTTGTCTCAGGAGCAGTCAAACATTTCAAGCATATCTTTCTCCATGGTTCACAACCAAAGAGGAGAGAACAAGGCAGCCTGGACCCCACAGAGGATTATTTATCCTCCCATAGCCTTCACTCATGAGCACAGAAAGCTCTGACTCTTTTGAGTCCTCAGGGAAAAAGTTGTGACTGAATTAAACTGAAAGAGAAGGTAAGATTTTGCACTGTAAGATTTTGAAGAACACAGTAATGGGGTGACAAGCATCCCATTCTGTTGGGGTTTTTTTTGTATTGTCACCGTTCTTGCATACCAGGAGAGATCACACACTCCTGTGGGATAGGTAACACACAAAAAACTAGTCTCAATGGACTTTTAGGTGAGGTGGATGGGTGGTAGAAGGAAATGAACAGTTGAAATCACACAAAATCACTCAGTATTTGCACCTAGATGGTTAAAATTTGAGCAGAAGAGCTGAGACTTCATGCTTGTCAAACGATGTGAGTGAACAGAGAAGTCACTGGGCTGATGCCCATGGAATAACCCACTATCAGAGCATGAGCTCCCACTGCTCCCAGTGCCCAGGCAACTCTTCTTTCAGGACTGATGCCTTCAAATTCAGGTCAAATGCATAACCACAACAGAATGAGCAGGAAAAAAAAGAAAAAGAAAAAAAAGCTCACATAAGCTCATATTACCAGCTCTGAGTGGGTAAGGGATGCAGCTTTCAGTTAGCTAATTTTGTTCTTTACGGATATTGCTGATAGCTTTGTAAGAAAATCAGAAGGCATCATCCGAACTGGCTTAGAAATTACAAACAAGCACTTTAATTTTTATTTAAACGGGAGAAGCTGTTAGAGGCCTGTTTTGAAGCCAGTTTAAGTCCATGGAAGGATTTAATCGGGCTTTGTTTGCAGGCGTGGCGGCAGCCTCTTTTAAAGTCATTCCTCTGCTTATAATCAAGCCTTGCCCCCGTCAGATTTTAACCACTTCTTCCTAGGTTAGGCACGGGGATGGGCTGGTGACAGTCCCTGCTGCAGTCGCATACCACTCGTGTGGAGCTGGCGCTCGAAGCCAGGCTGCTTCACCGTTTCCACTGCCGACTGTTTGCAAACGCGGGAGAGGAGCTGGGAATGAGCAGAGCAATGCAGAGTCGGGGAGGGAGGGGTTTGGTGGCTGGGCTGGAGTTAGTCACCGCAGACTTCCATTTCCAGATCGTGAGGAAGGACTCAAGCCATTTTAGGCATTTTCTTGGACTTCCTTCTCGGCTTTTAATTGAAATACCCAGGAGGGATGGAGGAATCCACGGGCCCATTTTGCACCGACGTGGGATACTTCTGTGCAAGCACAGACGTGCTCCCCCTTCCTATTGTAGTTCAGACCACTGTTGTTAGTCCTTGGCTCAGCTCCTTTGCATGGCAACAAGGAATCTTCTACACATCTCACCTTCTGGAAGCTGATGCACTCCTCTCTGGAAGATGCTCACTGAGGTGAAAATAATTTTTAAAGAATTTTCTTGCAGGAGCTAACTATGCTGGGATGTCTTGAATATTCAAAACAAAACACATTTAATTCTGATACCTCTGAGGTATATAAACATACATGTACATTTATCCATATATATCTGTAAGTGCCACAGGTAAGAAGACATATGAACCAGCAAACTGCAAAATCACAAGAGGCTTTGAACACCCCTGTTCCTCTTTAGCAGGAATTCAGATGCTTACATCTAGCACAGCAAACAAGAAAAAACCCTGCATAGCTGCCAAGACAACTGACACATCCAGCTGCCAGACTTCACTAGGCTTCTCACTCTGGTGTTGTAAGTTTTGCATCTCCCCTTGTCCAGCAGCAGTGCCCTTTTTGCCAGAGAGCTGTTTGGGAAATCACCCCCAGGACGTCGCAGGGCGGGCAGGCAGCAGGCATGTTAGGAGCACATCCAGCACAGCCAGGCGAAGTCCCCTCTGTCCAGTCCCAAAGAGGGGGCCAATGCTCACTGTGCAGGGCAGCAGCAGGAGCAGCAGCAGTAAATGAGGTTTTTTGTGTGGTTGATGTTACAACGCTTTTTTCTCCTGCTGAGACAAAAGAATTTTCTCTGTCCAGGGGAGCTCAGTGTCCTGGTCACCCAGAGAAGCTTCTCCTGGGCTTGGTGCTTGGCCTAGCAACACCGTGCACAGTGCCCATGGCCAAGCTCCTTCACACGGGACCCATACATTGGCACAAAATACTTATTTATCACATGGTGAAAGAACCAACGTTTCTGGCCTTTCGTGATGCTGATTGTGCACCTTGTGCTTTGTGTTTTGCCTTCTTGAAGCTGATTCTTAATTAGCAACAAAGTTGCAGTCACATAAACACTGAGGACAGAGGAGTAACATCAACCTTGAAATTGTTACTTTTCTGACCACTAGAAAAGCCCTCTGCCTTCCTCTAAAAGCTACTTAAATGTTTCTTCACTTCTAAAGAATGATAAACAAGTCCTTACTGACAAAGTAGCACGGCAACCACGACCTTCCTTTCTCATTGGGGCCTGCAGGTGTATGAAACAATGACCAGTCCAGCCATCTCTCATAAGGTTTTAGTTTTACTCCCAGGTGGTTGCACCTTTATTATGGTGCCTGTGCTGGACTGGGTGACTAGCCTTTCCCTGACACCCCACTGATGTGGTTTGTGACCACCTCCATGCATTGAATCTGGAGAATCCTGTGGCACCCCTCTCCCGTGTCTGCCCTGCAATCAAAAGGAAGGCATCTGAGATGGAAAAAGAGGTTGGAGTAAGTATCACAAATCAGCCCATAAACCTCTGCTCTGCTAAAATGATCTTTCCAAGGACTGAGGCAATGTAGGAGCACAAGGAGGAAAAGTGTGCTGCTGGGGGGCTGCCAGAGCTTCTGCATTCTGGCTTCTCTCTTGGTGCCTTTTAACAGCTTTGCAGCATCAGGGGTGATGTTCCCTTCTCCAAGGCTCCCAGGCCTCGCATGAGGGACAGGAAGGGAATGAGAACTGAATGTCTGGTGTTGTCTGGTGTCAGCATCCCTTGCTACAAGAGACCAAATAGTAAAAAAAAAAACCCTCATAGACAATGAAATGTGAGGGTTTGCAAGGAAACTTCTGGGAAGAGAAGTGATAAGTCAGTATAAATTAGGAAGGTAGGGAACTGAGGATTTACCCTATTGTTTTACACACAGTGGTTGCATTAGAATCAATTGTATTTTGGTGTTTGTGGTTAATAATTGACTTCTATTTACACATAGAAGGAAAGAATTCATGCCAAAAAAGCCAAGAATGTGCAAGATCTTTTTAGAGAAAAGCAGAAAAAGAAAAAAGAAAAAAAAAAAACAAAACAACCAGACCTATATTTCTGGTGTAATCTTTTTCTTCCATGGCAGCTGTAAAACCAGCTCACATTGTGTTAGCTAAGTGTATTATCCTGCGAACAACAGGGTCCCATCAGCTCTATCAGAAGGCCAATACCCTCTGTACTGAAAACCTCTTGATTCAGTACATTTCTGTCACAGAGTAAATTTTTGCTTGACCCCATTGAAGGAATCGGTTTAAATCTTGAAACATAAAAACCATTAAAGCAGAAAAAAAAATACTTTTCCCCTCTCTTTGCCTTTTGATTGTTGACATCAAACACCACGTTGCAGTTCAGCAAATAGAAGAATGTTGTAGCAAGTAAAAAAAATAAATTAGGAAAAACTGAGGAAAAAAAAAAAGCAAGACAGGAAGGGATTGTATGGCAGTAATAAATGTATTCTGTTCTTTATAAACACATGTGTGGTGTGGATTTGTGTCTGTGGGACAATTCAGGAAAAAAAATTAAAAGACAAGTTTTGGTTTTAAACTCAGCAGATTTCAAAGTGCATTGTTTATATCCTCTGCAGTGCAATAAAGCTTATCAAGAACTTTTCCACTAGATACAAGAGTCAGAAGAAATAAGAAGAATGTGAACAGTATGCTTCCTTTGGGTTGCTACAATATCTGTAATTCTTTTAGCACAGATTTCCCATGTTAGCTTAAGCTCTGTCTCACAACCATCATTTTCAGCAGATAGTCGTAAATACTTCGCTGAGCTGAGTTGTTCAGAAATTTGCCATCATTTCACTCTCCACAAGCTCAAAGCATGTGGCAAGTTCAAGGGCCCTTAATTAAAAATGTAATACTTTCATTCTAGAAGCTCTTACTTGCATCCAGGCAATACTCTGGGATAAATCAACTGCTGATGTAAATGCATTAATTTCAGTGTAATTTCATTTAGAAGCTACAAGTGTACTAAATTTTTATTTAATGATTTGAATGTGCTTTCTGTAAGAGGGAGTAGGATCACTTCTCCCTTAAAAAGGGAAGAGCTGAGCCTGGGAAGTGGGAGGCAGAGATTTGACCAGCCCTTGGTAAAAGCTGGGAGAACATACAAGCCTCTCACTCCAATCCATGTTTGTACTTTCAGCATGAACCAGGACATGGAAATGACGACTAAAATACGTACATTTCAAGCACGGGATTTGGCACCAGAGCTCAAAGCTGCAACATTTTCTAGGCAGAATGTATTTCTGCCCCTCTCTTAAATTGAGAGGTCAATTTTTGTCTTCTTTTCCTATTTCGCTCCTGTAAGGGAAGACAGCATGGCATGTTTGTTAGAACTATAATGTTGCATTTACTAATTAAATAAAGTGGGGTTTTTTGGGAGAACTTCTTTTAAGCGAAACCATGTGTCCCAGGGAGGAAACATTCTTCTGGTAAACAGCTGAGCCCTTAACATTTAGCAACATAACTCTGTGTTTGCAGCTATTGAAAACTGTGTGACCGAGGAAGCCTGTGTTTCTGAGACTGAGGACTGAAAGCATTTTGCTCGCTGTCAGAATGCCAGCCCTTTCTTTTATGTATATGCTAAAAGCAAGAAAGAACCAACTATTGGATGGTCGCTTCTTATGGTTTTAATAAAATTTCTCTCATATCAAAATGCTGCTGGGTTTTAATGTTGACACTGCACTAAGCAATGTTCTCTGCTCTGGCACAGCTGGCTCTAGCTTTCCAGAAACATAGCTGCACCTTGGCATTACTTGCAAAAATTGCAGCCTTAAATCATTTCCTCATCCCTCTGACCTGTGCCAGGAAGGACCCTCTCACTGGTACAAAGAAGGGGATCATCCTCCTCCCTCACCAGCTGCTGTGTGAGCAGAGTGCTCAGAGTGGCAGGAGGTAGCTAAGGAACAAAAGTTACCTGCCAGACATGAACAGAAGCCTTGGAAAGCTCAGGGAAAAAAGATAATAGAGCTGGACACTACAAGCAGAAACAGGACTGAGAAAATGGGAGTGCTCTGTCGCTGGCTCCTGCTTTCCATTCCAAGAGTCCACATCGCTCAGAGACACCTGAAGTGCCACAGGACTGTGGGACAAATCCTGCTGAGGGGGAGCAGGGAAGTATTATTAGGTATAAGTGATTTCCCGAGCAGTGTTAGGGAGGGAGCTGGCTGCCTTTGAGATCTTACACTGCTTCTCCATCCAGCAGCTGGAAGGGGAAGGCCACAGACCCAGCTCCCTCTGGGCCAAAGGAGATGATTATTCCTCTGCCTGCTCATCTCACTGAAGCTGGGTTGCTGAGCTCTGGCCATCACGTTGACCTTTGCAGTACAAAGGGATCTTATATTGTTCTTTGTAGCCCTCAAAGCAGCTGGGCATGCTTACAAATTTCAGTAACTACCAGATAAGGCCAAACAAGATCCCACGATAAGAGTTCAAGGCTCTGCATTCCTCTCTGATTGCTTTCCTGAGCAGATTCTCATTTTAACTGGACTTATGGTAGTTTCATCCAGTTATCTTAAAGTACATAACGACTACGGTAATTACTGACAATAATGAGCTAATAAATTCTTCTAGGTATTTTCAAGGGATAAATATTACTGTCCTTGCTGTAATAATGGGGAAACTGAAGCAAAGAGAAGTTTTTTGATAAATGTACTTTACTTCTAATATTTTGATATCCTTCTGGTTTTATTTGTATAGGTTTATGTATTTGCTTCTTAGTATGCTTTGTGTTCTGTTATTGCTTTCCAGTAATGTTATCTGGCATGGGTTGTGTGTGTGTACTAAGGTGCATTTAAGAAAACAGCAGTGATTTCAGAAAACTTCACAGATATTGAAGAGTTTTTTGTCACTGTTTATATATATATACATATACATATTTGATTTATCATAACCCTATTTTCCTGACTTCCCCTTTTCTTCCTCCTTCTTTTATTTTTGATGCCTTCTTTTTTAGGAAAAAAACCACAAATAACATTATTTTCTATTTCTTTTCAATATACTTCAGCTTGCATTTAAATCTCTAATGTGGAAAGCCAACAGAATATGACCTTCTAGTGACTAAAGAATTAAGATATTCTACTGGGTAGGAAGCTTGAAAGGCAGAGTTATGGCTTTACTAAAGTATCAGCTAATCCCTTATATATATAATTAATATTCAAAAGACATAACTTGGTTTGGTAGCATTTATCTAAGAGTTTAAGTTTCCCACAGTTCAGGTATGCTTCCCCAAAGCCTTTTCAAGGATAGATATACAGGTAGCCAGATCAGAGGCTAAGCTGCACCAAAAAACAAAACCAAAACCAAAACAAAAAAGACAATTTTGTTTGTCAGCATATTTTCAGGTGAATTATGTGGGAGGATCTAGTCTCTAGACAGGAACAAGTGCCTTGTTCCTTGTTAAGTGTCAACTCTTATTTGAAACATTTTCTTTGATCCAAACTTGTTTAGTAAGGACCTGACTTCTAAAAACTTTAAGGTGTTTATGTGCACTTCAGCATCTTTATAAAGCCAGCACTGATTCCTTATTGAACTGTGGACTAAGGGCCTCCAGATAGTCTGACAATTTTATATTGATTTATTTCAACCAACTTCTAATTCTAAGGAGACAAAAAAGTTAAAATAAGACTTAGGTGTGTTAAAAACTTGCTTCGCAAACAAGGAAAACAGTCAATCTGAAAACAAATTGAGGTACTATAAAATCTCTATAACTGGAATATTTTGGGAAATTTAGAACCAATAAAAGGCAAAAAAACCTGTGAGAACCACTAACATAGTTTCTAAGGTATCACTGGTAAATTTAAGGCTGTTAGCCCTGACAGATTTAGTACTGAGACTTTCTGCTCTACAGAATATTTTCCTGAGGCTTATTTGTCCTTGCAAGAGGTGTCCCTCCACCTCTCTTAGCGTACTGCCTATGCCTTCAAGACTTTTCAGGAAGGCTAATCCAGTCTTTGGGCATTTTTGGAGTGGTTTGTGTTTTCCTTTTTGTGCTGGGGGAGACAAGGACAATCTTGCTTAATGTAAAACCCAAACAAGGGAAACTGAAGAGTGGGAGTATGTGAGGGAGCTGGTGGATAACTTACAGGGCTGTGAATCTCCTCCCGCCTGTAGACTCCTCTTGCAGGCTGCAGTAGGGATTCTGTGTTTAGTCTAGGCTCTTCCCAAATACCTGCTTCGGCTCTTACGTGGATTGCAGAGTGCTCAGCCCTGAGGGTGAGCGGCAAGGGAAGTCCGCCTCACAAATGTCCGGTTTTGGATCAACACCCCCTGATTTTCCATTAAAAACACGCACGTGCCTGCATTTCCCTTCCACTCCTATCCCGTAATGGTGTGCGGCCCGACGGAGTCCAAATGCACCGAAGGGAAATGCCGGGTTGGGGCATTTCCTCACGGACGAGCCCTCAGAGATTTGAGGAAAACTCGTGGAGGGTCCGTAACCTCTGGGACGGCTCAGGGGCCGAGAAGGCTAGGGAAGGACCGCGCCAGTGTCACCTGTGCCTGCGACAGCCCCTCTGAGGGGCGGGCGCGCTGACAGGGCTCTGCGATCCCTCAGACCGTGTCCTGCGCCATCACCGGCACGCGCGGGGGCCTGGCAGAGAGCGCGGGGCTTGTGCGCTTATTTACCCTTTGGCATACAAGTGTGGGCTTTTTGGGGTTTTCGTTTATGTTTTATAACGCCGACGGGAGCCCGAGGCAGCTCTGGACACCTTCGGGATGGGCAGTACAGAGCGCTCCCAGATTAGGAGGAATTTATTCACAGAAGTGGCAATTATGCATTGGGAGCTGCCAGGAGAGGTGGTGGAGTCTCCGTCCCTGGGGGTGTTTAACGTAAGACTGGACGTGGCACTCAGTGCCGTGGTCTGGTTGACACGGTGGTATTCTGGCTCAGGTTGGACTCGATGATCTCAAAGGTCTTTTCTAATCTAACTTATTCTGTGACTCGTACGCGCACTCGGCCCACCTCGGGGCGCGGGCCTCGCTCCGCAGCCCCTTTGCTCGCTGGCCAGGGACTGCCGGCCCGGGCTGCCATGTCTGTGGCGCAGCACGGCCCGGGTTCGGCGGTAGGAGCGCCCCTCCCGCCGGCGCCGCGGGGAACCGGCCGGGAGCCGGCAGCCGGGAGGGAAAGAAGAAGGGCGGCGGCGAAAGAACCGCGCTCTTCCCGCTGGCGCCTCAGCCCACCGGGCCGGGCAGCAGGCACCGGGTGGTGCAAGACGCCAGAACGGCCGCAGGGTCCGACCAGCCTTCCCCAGGCCTACGCCGCGCACTTTTCGGCCGACAGATAAGGGCGTGTGGGGCGGGGCAGGAAGAAGGAGCCTTTTTTTTTTTTTTTTTCCTTTTTTTCCAAGGGAAAAACCCTTCGCCTTTAAGGGGCGGGGCCACAAGAGTTTGCGGAAGAGCCGGGAGAGAGACGAGCGGTGATTGGATGGACGCAGTCTCGTGACGGCGGCTGGGGCGGTCCCACCCCCCTCAGCCCGCCGGCGCCCCGCGTTCCATTGTGTGCGCTAGCACCGCCGGGCCCCGCCCCGCCGTGTCCCCGCCCGCAGGGCTGACCACGCCCCCGGTGGCGGCCCCGCCCCCCGCGTTCTCTTGGCTCATTTCCGGCCGCCGCCGCCACCGCCGCTTCCCTCCGAGGGCTCGGGAGAGCGAAGGAACAACAGCCGCCATTTTGTTTGTGTGTGAGCGACGGAGGGAGGAGAAGGGAGCGAGAGGCCGAGCCGGACGGGGCGAACCAGGGGGAGGGCAGCGCACAGAGATACAGGGGCTCGGACAGGGGACGGGGAGAGAAGCGAGGAGCCCAGACGCCCCCCCCCCCCCCCCCCCCCCCCAACCCTAGCCTGCCCGTCCCCTCGCTATTTCCTCTCTCTCTGTTTCCTTTTCTCTCTTCTCCTTTTCCCGGAATTCTCTCCCCCCGCGCTGCCCTCCGCCCCCGCTTTGCCCGCTCCGCACACACGCCCCCGGAGCGCCAGGCAGGGGCAGTAGGGAGCCTGCGCTCGGCCCCCGCGCTGCCGCCGTCCCGCCCCGGCCCCCCCCGCCGGGCAGCGCCGGGGACCCCCTCCCCCGCCCGGCCATTCCGGAGCGAATCCCCCCGCCTCCCCCGCCGTGATTTTCTCCTGTTTTATTATTTTAATTTTACCTCTCACGCCTCTTCTCGGAGGGGTCGCTGCGCGGCCTCCCCTCCCACCCCGACTACAAACCTCTTCGCTCCCTTCCCCACCCTCGCAGAGGCGAACGGGGAGTCCCCACCGCGCCCGAGGGTCTCCTCCCTCGCTCATCGCGCCCCGCATCGCCCGTGGGTCCGGGGGAGCTGAGACAGGCAGCCCCCTCCCTGCCACCGTCCTCGGCCGCCCGGGAAGGGGGAAGGTAGGCAGAGAGGGCGGGAGGGGCCGGCTTCTTCCTCCTCCTCCTCCTCCTCCTCCTCCTGCCGCTGCTGTGGGATCGGCCCCTCTGCCTGCGCCGGAGAGGGGGGGGCAGCCTGCTACTGCGAACGAGAGAAAGAGGAAGGGGAAAGAAGAGGAAAAAGGGGGGGCAGAAAGGGTGTTGAAACCCGCCCCCCACCTTCCCATCCCGCGATCGGTGCTGCCTCCATCAGGACAACAACCCCTCCTCCTTCCCTGCACAACAAGATGTGAAGCGGAGACTCCTGGGACTTATCCTCACCCTCCTCATCCTTACAGCTCCCCTTTCTGCAGCCATTAGCGACGGGCGAGGAAGAAGCGAGTGGAGCTGGGGACCCCGCGCACGCTGTGCCACTCCCCCCGCCGCCTCCCCCCCAGCCCTGTCGCTGGCGGTGGGTATTTTTTCGCAGGGTGGTGTTGGAGGGGGAAGGAGCCGCTGCTAGAGGACGGTGATCTTTTTTTCTTTTTTCCTCCTCCTCTCCTCTCCTTCGCCCGCCTCCTTGTGGCGATGAGGAGGAGGAGGACGGCGCCGAGGAGGAAGAGGCTGATGGCGGCGGTGAGGAGGCAGCAGGAGGAGGAGACCCCACGAAGGATGAAGATGATGATGGTGGCGGCGGCGAGGAAGCACCAGCACAACAGCCGGGATTAATTTTACTAAAAAAAAAAAAAAAAAAAAAAATTCCCCAGCCTGTTTTTTTTTTTTAAATTTTTATTTTTTTTTAATTTTTTTTTTTGGCGGGGGCTTTACCTGCTCTTCCTATCTTCGTTCAGCCCTTTCGCCTGGGGGAAGAGGCCTCACCCCCTCCCGCTCCAGCTCCCACCTCTCCCGGCTTCTCCGCTGCCGCCCTCCCAGAGCCCGAGAAGCAGAAAAAGGGGAACTTGGCCCCCCTTCTCTGCCAGATCCTCCTCGCTAGCTCTCGGCGTTATTGTTGTTCTTCAGCTGACTCGGGCCCCCAGAAGAACGCGAAGGTTTTGGGGTTCACCCCCCACCTTCTCTCTGCTCTGAGTGATTGTCTAAAAAATTAAAAATGGCCGAGAATGTGGTGGAGCCGGGCCCGCCTTCAGCCAAGCGGCCTAAACTCTCCTCACCGGCGCTCTCCGTGTCCGCCAGCGACGGCACAGGTCAGTCTCGGGGCCCCAGACCCTCCCCACTTCTCGTTGCCGCAATTACTGCCCCTTTCTCCCCGATTTTGCCTAAATCTCTTCCTCCCTTTTGCTGCTCTTAGCTCGAGCCTGCCTTTCTCCTTCGCGTCTGTTTCGCCTGTTCTCGCTCCGTTTGAAGCTATTTGCGTTAATGGCATAGGGAGGGTGTTCGGATGTTTTTGCCCTTTTGGTTTTTTGGAAGTGATTGAAAGCAAAGCTATTCAGTTTATTGTGCTTTTGATCAGCTGTAGATAGAACTTAACAGTTCGTCATTTTCGTGTCTTTCACAATAGTAGCGATTACCGAGCTCCTTGCTAAGCATAATGCCAGTTGCAGAAAACGAAGTACTGCTAAAGACGATGCTTTTGTATATTTTATTGTTAAATCACGTGTGTACACACAAATGTCTTGGTTTTGTATTTTATTTTGCATATATGGGGTTCTTTTACAGTTTGTTTAGAAACGAGTGAGTTATTTCTCTGCTATTTTTCTTTTTCCCTTCTTATGTGCAGTCTGCTTATATGATTTACTTTTTACAATCTTCTTCCTTACAGAAGTGTATCAAAATACTGCTTTTCTGATTCAAATAGCCCATCGGCTTTAGGAAAAGCAGCTAAAACCAAAATCCAGATGCCATGCTTGTAGCATAAGGTTTATTGAGACTCTTATTTTCTTAGAGATGAAATTTTATTTCACCTTATTTGCATTAAGAATCAATATGGAGTGTAGTTAATCTTGCATCTCCTGTTTCTTTGCTGCTAGACCAAAATGTCTGAAATTCTCCTGTAGTCTTAAGAGCTGTGAAGAGAAAAGGGACGTCTCTGCAGTCCTGCAAAGGTCTTTGGTGATGCTGCGAAGGCAAGCTAGAGCATGGAAATTTTAGGTGTCCCAATCCCTAGCAAATATGAACTGGTTGTTCTGGGAGGGGGGGAGAAAGTAACAAAGGGCTGTTCAGCTTTTTAATGCTTCTTGCGAAGTAGGTGAGTATTTGGTGTCATTCTGCTATGAGAATACTCTGTTACCTGTCCCACAGGAGTTTCTTTGAACTCACGTTAGATCCTATTAGCCTATGGGATATGGAGGAGGCCTCCTCCTGCCAGTCTGGTGAGTGGTGGCATTTCTGAAGGCACCAGTGCTCTTGTTCAATGCAGTTAACAACTGGCAAGAAAAGGAAAGAGTAGTTTTGTTGTTGGTGGTGTTGGGTTTTTTTGGTTGGTTTGGTTTGGTTTGTTCTCTCTGAAAAGCTCTCTTTGACAGTTAACACCAGGTTTTAATAGCAGGTCTTTGAGGAGTGGATGTGATTCTACTTGGGATCATCTCCAAAATTTTGATTTTGCCTTTTCTATTCTCGGCGAATGACATACTAGTTTCGAAAAATTTGTGACTTTTAGTGCATATTAAATACAGCCAATACTGTGTTGTAATTGGAGGACATGACTATTCCTTATATCAACAGGTCTCTAGAAAGAGTAGAAGGGGGTTGGAGAAACTACTCTTAACTAGAACTAGTTGTTGTCTGGTTTTGTGCTACATTTGGAAAACAGTGGTTAATTCAATAGTAATCACTTTTTGTCTTGATAGTGGTTATTTTTGCTCTGTTTAGAGAGGTGAAATAATATTTTGTGAGAAGTTCTGATACTTTAAAAATATGCAAGTTAAAGGCACATTTTGATTCGTATGTCATATGTATGCATGCATCTAAGTTTGGACATTTGTGATCAAATAAGGGTTGGATGTGAATGTATTTCAGTTTATCAGGTGTAGTCTTTCACAGAATACTTAGTCTTTAGTTGTTAACTTACTGGGCAGGTTTTTATAGTTAATAAATGAACTTTTTATAGTTTTGGTGAAACACTAGGGACTGGAGAGTTTCAGTAAGTTTCAGACAGTTTCAGTTTTTCCCAAAGTGATTTGGACTGTCATCATCTGACAGCAGAGGTTTATAGTATTGCAAGCACTTCATATGTGCTACGTAAGACCTATTAAAGAGTTCTTAATTTTCTGGCTATTTTTTTTTTTTTTTATTGCCAACTAATTATATGAATATGGGACAGTTTTACTTTCAGTGTTTTTTTAACATGACATATAATACCTATTTCTGTAAAAATCCAACCCATGAACTAATGAATGTATTTTGAGGGTTATATTTTTTCATTTGCTGCTTGCGACTGCAGTTTGTTTTGTCATACTTCTGTTGTGGGAAACAGCTTTAAGTTTACAATTTTTTAACCTATCTGCTAAATCTGCTTTGAAATAGTGCAAGCAGCTGTCATTAAGTAAATTCCACTTATAGAATCTTGTATTGTCCTCACTACTTGGATAATTATAGGAAATAAGTAACATGGTGCTTATGTACTTACTCAAGCACTCTTTTTAAAACTGTTAGATTC